CGTTAAACCCAATTTCACCTTACTTGTCAAGTATGCCATCAAACCTTCATCTTCCCCGAGGCAAGGGAGTTAACTGACAATAAAAATCCCCCCTTTCCGAACTAGGCTGGAATTATTGAGTTATATTTTGGCTGGACTAACGATTCTTTGCATAGTCCAATCAATATCGCGTAACAAAATCGACATCCGGTTCGTCAACTGCCGTGCAATTTTCAGTCGATTGCAGGATTTGTAAAGCATGTGTACCACCAACTCGGCGTCAACAGATATTTTCCAAATCCTTTCAAGTTCCTAATCAAGCTGGTCATGTGATCTGATGCACTTCGCGAAGTTAGACCCGTTTTTATTACAAAAATGAATGTAGATCTTGATTATCGATCTGATCGTCTTTCCTGGCACTGCTATTTTGTTTGAAGCAAATGCAAGTGATATGAGAGGTGGAATCAGTGGTCAATAGGAACGACATAGAAGGGACATAACTCAATAGCCACTGGTGGCGCTTTGATCGAGCCCAGGAATTCCAGCCTCGTTCGGCAAGGGTGGAAACTGGACTTTTACAGTCAGTTAACTCCCTTGCTTCGGGAAGATGTCAACCCTCCTCTGCTTAACCTATTGGCCTTCTTACTGCGGATAACAGACTTTTTCTTTTTATTCGCAATAAAACTGACGTACTGGATTTAAAGTGACACGCGATATCCAAGAAAAAAATCCTTTTTTAGTCTTAGGAATTCAGAATTATTTTCATCTGTCTTATGTTTTGGGGACCTAAAACACATTGATTTTCAGAGCGTTCGTTCGTAACGCCACAGAAGAGTTAGAATCCCCTTACGGCCACAACCTCATGACACCCCCGAATTCGCCGCCGTTACAAGGATATTGACATATTACATATTTTCATGAGGGTCTCAGCCAAATATTCCATTTATTGTGCATTTTCTTTGCGAACACCTGCCGTCAATGATTTTCAATGTTCTTTCAAATAATTTTCAGCACTATTTTTCGAACTAAAATTAGTGGTCCCTTTGAGTTCGTTATAACCGTAGTTAACTGTATGCTGTCACGGGTTCCTGACCTTGTCGACCAAATACGCGTTGGAACAAAACACGCAAACACATCTCACCATTTGATTCTGACGTGTTGAATTTGTATGGCCGCTATTTCAGATGTACTAACAGTAAAGCTTATTGCCCTATATTTTTCATTGTCCCACATTTCCATAAGTATATTACTTCATCACATGATGAAAACGATGACTTTTACAGGCTGCGAGTTCGGGGACCGGGATCCGTCTATGTGCCGCACCATTGACAGACTGTCTTGCTGTGATCACAGGACACACTGCTGCGCCACCTGTCATGAAGACACACAGCCTCTCATGTGCGGCTATGGCACAGGGTCAAGGTCACCGCGTCACGCACTGCTCGTTGTTGTGTTGTCACTAGGCATCTTAACATGACTGTCTTCCAGGACAGAATGAGTGAGTGAGTGAGTATGGTTTATGCCGCTTTAAGCAATATTCCAGCAATATCACGGCGAGGAACACCAGAAATGGGCTTCACACATTGTACCCATGTCGGGAATCGAACCCGGGTCTTCTGCGTGACGAGCGAACGCTTTAACCGCCAGGCTACCCGACCGGCCCCCCGGACAGAATGAACACTGCCCTTTGTATATAGGCGGCAGCTGTAGAACTTTTTTCTACCCATAGAGATACATTGATATAAACATGTTGTCTTAATGAGTGAGTGAGTGAGTTGGGTTTAACGCCGCTTTTAACAATATTCCAGTTATATCGCGGCGTGTCAGCTTAATGTGGGAGGAAAGCCCGAAGTGATGCAGGTCTCAGACGTTTACCACTTCGGTGAAACCCACGAGCACGGGTATGGTGCTGACAAACCTAGAAACATAGTCGGAGCGAACCGGGATTCGAACCCACAATCATAGGTTTCTGGCGTGCCCAAGGGACGCAACTCTGCACAGCGAATCGCGGCGCCTTAGACGACTGGGCCACCCGTGCCCCCTTGTCTTAATGTGTCATATGTTGTCTTAATGTGTAATTATATCAGTACAAACCGTATACCTGTGTCAACGTTTTCCTTTGATTTGTGGTAATAGTGTTACGAGTTAACTCAATCATTGACTGTTGTGTAAAGCCGCACTCATCACTATTCCAGCTATATTACGTCGGTCTGTCAATACTCGAGTCTGGACCAGACAATCTAGTGATGCATCTACACAATTGGGATCATCTTCCCGAGGCAATGGTGTTAACCGACTACAAAAGTCCAGTTTCCACTCTTGTGGAACAAGGGTGGAATTTCGTTTTCATATTTTGGCAGGACTAACGAGTGTATGCATTGTCCAATCAGAACCAGGATCCTGTCCGTAAACATCGCAACTGCCTGGCAGGTTTCGGATGATCACAGGATTTTCATGTGTTTAATCAACGTGCTAAAGTGTGCTAAAATCCACATGAACTGGGTGTCTCTGTGAGGCTGTTTCTTCGATTTAATTCTTCGATCAGATCGTCATGAAGATCGTTTGAAGCGAATGGGAGTGATATGAGAGGTGGAATCTGATTGGTCAATATGGACATATCTCGTAAAGGCCACTGATGGGCTACGATGGAGCCACGAAACTCCAGTCTTGTTCGACAAGGGTGGAAACTGGACTTTACTAGTCAAGTTAGCTCCCTTGCCCCGGGAAGGTAGGTGAGTGAGTTTGGTTTAACGCCGCTTTTAACAGTATTTAAGTTATATCACGGCGTGTCAGCTTAATGTGGGAGGAAAGCCCGAGGTGATGCAGGTCTCAGACGTTTACCACTTCGGTGAAACCCACGAGCACGGGTATGGTGTTGACAAACCTAGAAACAATCGGGGCGAACCGTGATTCGAACACACAATCATTGGTTTCTGGCGTGCCCAAGGGACGCAACTCTGCACAGCGAATCGATGCGCCTTAGACGACTAAGACAACTGTAGAGATATAAATTGCGAAACAATTTAGTGAGGACACTAGCCTAGCGACCTCTGCGGCTTGGAACCTTTTTCCCTAAATTAAACGATAGAAACCTAGAAACATAATAGGGGCGAACTGGGTTTCGAACCCACAATCACATGTTTCTCGCGTGCCCAAAGGACGAGACTCTGCACAGCGAATCGCGGCGTATTAGACGACTGGGCCACCCATGCTCCCTTCGGGAAGGTGAATTGGAATATGAAAACAGGCGTCAACCCAGTAAGCAAGCCCGCCCACTCGATTCCGTCAGTCGCCTCTCTCCTACAAACATGGGATGCTGAAGACCAGGCCAGAATATGTGGTACTAATCTGTACCATACCCCAAACCGGTGGACATGCGCAACGTCCATACTTATGAAAAGGAAATAACACTGAGATTCGGTTACACCTTAAAAGTCTGTTTTGGGCGATACAAATTATCAAAAATATTGTGTTTGTTGGTTGTTTATTTGTTTAACGCCGCACTCAGCAATATTCCAGCTATATGACGGCGGTCTGTAAATAATCGAGTCTGGGCCAGAAAATCCAGTGATTGACATGAGCATCGGTCCACGCAACTGGGATCGATGACATGCATCAACCAAGTCATCGAGCCTACCCACCCGATCCCGTTAGTCGCCTCTTGACAAGCATAGTCATCTCTCACATGATGTGTCTCGTGAAATATGTTTCTCTCATCGAGTGACGGAGATGCGAGAAACACGACATCTTACTCGACACAAGGAATATCCTATTTATTATGTACTTTTTATTACAAATGTAAAACCTTGAAACGTAGTTTCTCCCTACCTAACAAACAGGGACGGTTCACCACACTTTGTATTTGCGACTTAAAAAGTAGTTTCGTGTTTGCAAAATCCCCCCAAAGTATAAAAAAATATTAAGGGCCACGAAAATTCCTTAAACATTTTGATATGATTATATACAAAATCATCAATTGACGCTTTAAATGAGAAATTTACAGTTTATAACGAAACATATTTTCGAGAGAATAACAAACGGCAAGAAGTGATATCTACCTCATAAATGACCATCTTTCATTATTTTGCCTTGTCAATGTGAAACGTCAACAGTTTGTGTACGGGCTCGACACTTACGAAAAAGGGAGACAATTAAAGGGGATATAACTCTTGTATGACAATAGTTCCGTCAAAGTGGTATGTTTACTGCAATGAAAATATCACTTTTTTTCAACTTCAGTAAACTCAGTCTTTCACACTGAAGTACATAATAAAATGTGTGTCATACGTTTACCTTCGAGCACGAACAAGGCGCTGTCATAATGATAATTATTACAGCACAATTTCGATTCAAACAAGAAAAAAACCTCTCCATAAATTTCAAGGTAACAAGTTTATTATCAAATTACATAAAGTCAATGACACCAACAGTTAACAGTTAAGTTGATACACGTGTGTAAAGCAAAATCAACAGTTTAGTTTAAAGGAAATAACAATAGTGAATGAATCTGTTTTAGATCAATCAGCATCACACAGTCCTGTAAATAGTTTGGTCTTGGTCCGACAAACCAGTGCCCGAAATCATGGGCAAAGGGTACGATGACAGTTTGCCTTGCCACCCAATTCTCTTACACTTGTTTCTTGTTTAATTCTTGCAAAATTCCAGCGATATGACGGAGGTCTGTAAATAATCGAGTCTGGACCAGTGATTGACCACCCAATCCCGTTAGTCGCCTCTTACAAGCATCGTCGCGTTTTAGGGCAAGTATGGGTTGCTGAAGACATTTTCTACCCCGGATCTTCACGGGTCGAGTCCCTAACAAGCATGATACACTGGTGACGTATGACGACCTATGATGTATGATGTATCCCATACATGTAGGTTAAATATAACCCGTGAAGATGCGGGATAGAATAGGTCTTCAGTAACCCATGCTTGCCCTAAAACGCGATGATGCTTGTCGTAAAAGGCGACTAACGGGATCGGGTGGTCAGGCTCGCTGACTTGGTTGATGCATGTCATCGTATCCCATTCACGTGGATCGATGCTCATGATGTCAGTCACTGGATTGTCTGGTCCAGACTCGATTATTTACAGACCGCCGTCTTAAAGCTGGAATGTTACGTTAAACAAACAAACAAAGAAACAGGCAAAATACATTTGGAGTTACCCCGAGAATGTGAAAATATCGGGGGGCCCTATTGCTTCCTTGCCGCCATGATATACCAGGCTTCAAACTCACAATACTTATTCCTCTCGTTTTCAGGGAGAACGCTGTCACGGCAATAAGTGATGGTAAAACCAGCCTCTGTCCACACCTTCTCAACCTCCCCCTTCGAGATATGGAGAGACTTGAACTCTTCCTCCCCTACGAAATAAGTGGTATCACCCAACACTGCATACACTACCACGTGACCTCCTTGTCGAACTAGGGAAGCTATGCGTTTCACACATGTTTTGTAGCTGGAGCTGTCTTCACAGATGGCTTCCAGACAAAGTGATGTTGTGACGACATCAAAGGGTCGGAAGTAAGCTGGTTCAAGTGGCTCTTCCTTGAACAGGTCACATGGCAAAATTCCATCTATCTTGCTCCTAATTTTGTTTTCACGACTGGTCAATGATTCCCTACAAATGTAAAGAGAACATAGGGGTCAAGAAAAATAGCCATTGATTGACCACATTTGATGACCACCTTCCATATGTAACATCGTCCCTAGCATGCATGCTTTTCACAAAAGGGTATCATCTTTAACACGTGTATAATCAACTACTGAGTGAGTGAGTGAGTGATGTTTAACGCCGCATTGAACAGCGTGGTAGCTTGACTTCGATTTGGTTTTGGTTTGGTTTGTTGTAAAACACCGCGCACTCAGCAATATTCCAGCTATAAGACGGCGGTATGTAAATAATCGAGTCTGGACCAGACAATCCAGTGATTGACATCATAAGCATCGATCCACACAATTGGGATACGATGACATGCATCAACCAAGTCCGCGAGCCTGACCACCCGATCCCGTTAATCACCTCTTCTGACAAGCATAGTCGCCTTTTACGGCAAGCATGGGTTGCTGAAGACCTATCCTACCCCGGATCTTCACGGGTCTACTTACTCGGATTTCTCTAGATCGATCACATACTCCAAGAAAGGGTTGAATTTGTCCGTCAGTTCACCACTGACCCATTCTTTGAGGACTCTTCGACAGTGAGGCAAGAAGTCACTCAAGTAGACGCTGTCACAGTGCTCGGACGCGCTGATTACACTCAGGATAGATGGGCCTGTTCCGATGTCCAGAAATCTTTTCCCGGTTATTTTCCCTAGTTCAAAGTAAACTGAGAGCCACATGACCTCACACGGAATAAGGTATTTGATTTCATTAGGCATTTAGTGATGAAATACTACATCTGGAAATATAAAATCAATTACATGACTCGTTGAATAGCATGATGTTACACTTGAAATAACAAACTTTGCCAGGACAACTTTCAGCCTGCTTCAATGACGTGATGGTTTTCTGAGGAACGTCATGAAAATCCGATGAAAAATATATATAAAATCTGATATTTGCATTTTCTTGCAAAATAACATGTTTATGTGACTAGCACCCATCCCCTTTCCCCATAGTGTCCATAGAGTAACGTGTAATTATTTGATTGGAGCTGACACAGATCTTCCAACAGAAGTCTCCCGAAGGCTTTCTTTGTTTGTTTAACGCCGCACTCCAATATTCCAGCTATGTGGCGGCAGTCTGTAAATAATGGAGTCTGGACCAGACAATCGAGTGATGGAATTCATGTGCATTGATCTACACAATTGGGATACGATGACATGAGCGAGCCTGACCACCTGATCCCATTAGTCGCCTCTCACGACACGCATAGTCGAGCACGGGTATGGTGCTGACAAACCTAAAACATAATCGGGGCGAACCTGGATGCGAACCCACAATCATAGGTTTCTGGCGTGCCCAAGGGACGCAACTCTGCACAGCGAATCGCGGCGCCTTAGACGACTGGGCCACCCGTGCCAAAGCATGTATAGCCAGTTTGGTAAAACCCATCGATATGATAGGGGTGGTACAACTGACCATTATAATCATAGTAGGCCATGTTGGGTGTAGGCGATATGAGGGCAAGCCGGGTAATTAGCCTTTTAAATCAAATGTTCTTCAGACAATGGTTGTCGTAGATCAGTCGCTATGACAGTACCTTGCACAGTAAATAACTGAGAGCGATTTGTGGGGATTGTGTCTTTGTAATTTATGTGGCTATTTCTATATAAGGCGTGTACATAGTCCATAGTGTCGAAGTATTCTTCTGGTTTTCTCTCATAGGCAATAACAGAGGGAAAAGATCTTTATTTCGAAACGAAAGTTTATACGTTACAAATTACCACAGTGATGTCAATGCAGAGGCTTCAGCAACCCATGCTTTCCCTGAAAGGCGACTATGCTTGTCTTAAGAGGCGACTTACAGGATCGGGTGGTCAGGCTCGCGGACCTGGTTGATGCATGTCATGATATTCCAATTGCGTTGATCGATGCTCATGATGTCAATCTGACCGCCGTCATATAGCTGGAATATTGCTAAGTGTGGTGTAAAACAACAAACATGACATCACGATGCAGAGTCGGTCCTACCTTTGTTGAACACTTCATGGAAGGACTTCAGCATGAAAGGTATCATATCCCCTGCCGCTATGTCGCTTCTCAAGCTGCCGTAGTACATCTCCAGGTAAACCTCCGCGTCAAATGCCTCTTCGTAGGCATTGTTACCAAACCTCGGGCTCTTCGTAGACAAGGTGTCTGTACATTGAATCAAATCCATCTTCAAGCTGGAAACCAACAAACAGAAACGTTATTAATGGCTTTTCTATGACATGTTTACTCTTTTTGTATGAGGAATTTATAGAGGGGGGAATATTGGAACTTACTCCTCCATCCTCAGTGTATGGTCTGTTATTTCCTTTTTGAGGAATAATATTGGTCGCGGTATATGGAGGTATAAACGTATCAGCTGGTGGACACACTGTAAAACCACGAGAAAACATTATCAGTAGCTGATGGAAAGTAGGTCATACATCTGTGCAGTGAGCGGGTATGGTTTCACGCCGCTTTTAGCAATATTCCAGCAATATCACACGGGGTACGCCAGAAATGGGCTTCACAAATTGTACGCATGTCGGGAATTGAACCCGGGTCTTCGGCATGACGAGCGAACGCTTTAACCACTAGGCTCCCCAACCGCCCCACATCTGTGGAGTAAATTGCTAATTGCCACATAACTTTGTTCGACGAGGTGGGGTGAAATGGGGTTTAACGTCGCGTCCAAGATTATTGCACTTATATAGCGACGTGCATGTACGTGTGTGTGTTTGTGTGGCTGCTTGTACTAGTCCGGACTGATGCCGATTTATAGTGCTAGCTCACTGAAATACCATGCCGCAGTTTAACATGAATATCCCACTCAGACACAGTATACTGATTCCGAGCCGACCAGTCCTTGTTTTAGCCCCTTAATGCAGAGTGGGTAACACTCTTTTAACGTCTTTTGGTATGACGCGTCATGGGATCGAACCTCGGACCTTCCGCTCTCCGGGCGGACGCTCTACCACTTGACTACGGAGGCGGTCCATATTACGGATTGATATGACTGTGTGTTAGGTTTCTTAATGCTGAATTATTTTATTCTGGGTAATTTGCTTCTGCTACAAGCGCTATAAACATTTCTACATCAAAATATATGAATATTAACACAAAAAGCGCTGCGTGTGAAGATAAATTTATATACGTTTGGAAAGGGTAAAAGATTTCAACACCTTTTTACATGGTAACATTTAAATAGACTCATTCAAACGATAGGATCATATGACACTAAGAATTGAAAGCATTACAAAATGTGTTTCGTATAATCGAAAGTACAGAATGGTATTTAGAAAAGTATTTGTTGATTTCTGTTAATAGTCAAGACCTCAGTGTCAATTCAGTAGCTTCACCACTATATATCTCGACATAAATTATTCTCTATTGTTCCAACCGTCTATTATTTCCGATGAACAATTTTAGCCAAACACCTGTGGCTGAAACCCCATAGCATCATGACGTAAACGCCAGTACGATCCCACGCAAAGCATTTACTATTTCATTATGTTGCTGCCTATTTGTTATTCCATGAAATGAACTAACGATTTTATGAGTGAGTTGGGTTTAGCGCCGCTTTTAACAGTATTCCAGTTATATCACGGCGTGTCAGCTTCATGTGGGAGGAAAGCCCGAAGTGATGCAGGTCTCAGACGTTTACCACTTCGGTGAAACCCACGAGCACGGGTATGGTGCTGACATACCTAGAAACATAATTGGGGCTAACCGGGATTCGAACCCACAATCATAGGTTGGTGGCGTGCCCAAGAGACGCAACTCTGCACAGCGAATCGCGGCGCCTTAGACGACTGTCTCAAAACGAAGTGGCAAATTCAGTTTTCTAGTATTTCCGACAGTACTTCAGATGCATTCATCCAGTCCAAATACTGTGCCAGAATTAACAGGATAATACGTGAGAACCGTTTGTTGGGACTCCCTGGTTGGTATTGGCATTGTTTGACCTACATGGTGCGACTTGCCACGACTGTTTTCTAGTGTTCTAGTGATGTCTTGTTGGAAAAGTAACGGGCTGAAGTAAATATGTGCATTTGAGTTAGGCGTGATCGAGATTATGCAAACTATATTCCGAAAAACAGGAAAATAACGCTTACCAATTAATTTCGATGATCCATCGATTGTAACTGTAACCGGTCCGCACTACAAAGTCCTGATCACTTAGTCATAGTATTTTTAACTACTCTCACTGCTGCAAGTTCAATTCAACTCTTCACTTTGTAATATATATATATAAAAAAAGGAAAATATATAATATGTGTCGGGAACGCAACATGGCAACGCAATGTTATTTATGTCATGAGTTAATAAACCGACGGCAAAACGAAGCTTTACCAAAATTTTAATAACGGGATCGGGTGGTCAGGCTCGCTGACTTGAACAACAAACAAACAAACTTGACACTTCCTCTTCTAGAAGACCTGGTACTTGAGAGTGTGCTATGGCGTTTAGTGTACCAAGGCATGAGTACATTTTAATGTAAATTGTATGAGTGGCGGGTGCAACCGGTAGAGAAGGACGCGCCCACCCTTTTCGCGAACACCTTGTGTCATAACTGATGTTCAGTAATCCATTCATATATAGTTTTGGAATCTGTTTGCACGATTAGAACCAAGACTGATAATTCTCCGGCGTTGACGTTTAATACTTGGGACAGCCGACTTGAATTAAACTTCGAGTCGGAGGTTGCCCGATTTGATCAGGACCGGGTAACTGTCGTCGATATATAACGGTTCTAAATTGAACACAAACTACCAGACAACGCCAAACCCCATACAGCCGGAATCGTACAGAACATCCTTGCAGAAAACAACGTCAACGTGTTGCCGTGGCCTGCTCGCTGCTCCTTAGAACACCTCTGGGATGTCATGGATCAACGTGTTCGACAGCGACCACATCCTCCAAACTAATCCTGCCCTCCAAGAAGAATGGCGACGTATCCCACATGACATCAGACGACTGTCTTTTTTGTGCGCCGGAGTGTTTTTGCGTGTCTTAAAGCCGGGGGTATACACGTTGTTAATGTGACATGTCATCGACTTTAGCGATTTTAAATGTGTGCGCCCTTTGTCCATTCCGTTGAGAGCACCTGAAATCGGGCAACTGCTATGCCAATATCGGATGCTGTATGACTGTCTTTTTAAATGTTGATTTCGTTGAGATTGATTTTTTCAATACATTCTACTTCATACATCTATCTTTTGTAGTGTTTAAACTAAAATGATTGAAAACTATGTTTGTTTGTTGTTTGATGCCGCACTCAGCAAAATTCCAGCTATATGACGGCGGTCTGTAAATAAACGAGTCTGGACCAGAATCCAGGGTTTGACATTATGTGCATCGATCCACGTAATTGGGATCGATGACATGCATCAAACCAAGTCAGCGAGCCTGACCATCCGATCCCGTTAGTCGCCTCTTACGACAAGCATAGTCGCCATTTACGGCAAGCATGGGTTGCTAAAGACCAAGTCTACCCCGGATCATTCCTAAACCTATACGGCATGTTATTTTTATTATTTATCTTTGCCCGAGACCGACCACAGCGCGTAATTTCTGGACAAATGGTTTTCCAGAACCAAAATGGGATGCGTTATGCACATTTACATAGTTTTACAGGTCGTGGGGTGTCCCGACTGATTGGAGGCAATGGCGTTAACTGACTATCAAAGTCCATGCCAGTTTCCACCCTTGCCGAACTAGGCTGGACTAACGATTTTGCAGCTTTTACAACTTCTTCAGAGACAAGTTTCTTTAAAAAGCGTTTTGGCGTTTAAATACTCACTACAATATTCATTATCATTCGTAATGATTTATTATCCGAAACATGTCTTGAAGGGCATATTTGGTACGTTTCAGTTTCTCACATTCCCCAGCAAACCACTGTGGCTGGTGTTGTGTAGTTTGTTGACAATGACATGAGGTGGTTGTGCTTCATGATTGTCCCATAATTGATATAAAACTATTTTAGATAGGTCTTGTTACATTTCTACAGTAGAGTCTAAATGTGTGTTTAACATATTATCAAATAATGTTGAAAATGGTCAATGCAATTATTAATAAAGTTTACAAGCTCACCCCACGTGCTTCGTCTCCCTGAAATCTGTCTGTGCTGTGAGATGCGCATGCAGCACGAGCGCCTGTGGGATGTGCTTGTTCACGTGATACATCACGTGACAAGACTAAGTCGACTGTCAAGGGAAGACGATCAGATTCTGTTCTGGTTACAATTTTAAAGTTTTTGAATAATTCATATATAGAAGAGGACACAGTACAATAATCTACAACACTTCTACCTTGATGGCCAATGAACGTAAAATCCCCTTCTACGTCTAGTCCTGATCTACCACTTAATACATGCATGTTCATGTTTACAAACAGAACGAGTAACTGTTTAAATCGAGTATTAATAATACTGTCTTTGGACCTTCTGGGAATAAGTTATCATATTCATAGTTTGACTCATCAATTGGGAGATCATCGACGGAGTTGTCTTCCATAGAACCATGTCCTGCTTCAAAACGAGCATGCATATCACCAAAAATATTTACTCCAGTACGTAACCGCCTCCGTGGCCCGGAGAGCGGAAGGTCCGGGGTTCGATCCCCGGCTACGTCATACCAAAAGACGTTTAAGGGTGATACTTGTTGTTACCCTGCCTGGCGCTCGGCATTAAGGGGCTAAAACAAGGACTGGTCAGCTCGGAGTCAGTATACTGTGTCTGAGTTGGGTATTCATGGTAAACTGCGGCATGGTATCAGTGGGCTAGCGCTATAAATCGGCATCAGTCCGGACTAGTACAAGCAGACACACACACACACACACACGCACACACACACACACGCACGCACGCACGCACGCACGCGCGCGTACATGCACGTCGTTATAAAAGTGCAATAATCTTGGACGCAACGTTAAAACCCATTTCACCTCACCTCACCTCACCTCACCTCACCTCACCTCACCTATTACAGTACCTGCATGTTCATTACAAGGTGTATACAGTTTTGTCTCTAAGAGTTCTATACCAGTGCAGTCTTGCAGATTAGCCGCTACTGTTGTATCTGTCACACATACAAATCCCAGTGTAATGGAAGACCTTGGCCGTACATTTGTTAGGAAGAAGAAAACACAATCGGTCCATTCACTGTGTACTCGTCTGAACAGCTGGTTGACAGACTTCCTTATATATACGGCGAAACCAACGCTACATCTGCCCACAGTACATGTGCGCTCTCGAACCCTGGTGACAGGGATGGTCTGGAAAATATGTTCAAAATCTGTGGTGTATTTGGTTCAAGGTTCTATTAAGGTAATGATATCGAGGGTTTTACAAAAATATCATTTTTGAGTTTTGACTTGGTTGATGCATGTGATCGTATCCCAACTGCGTAGATCGACGCTCATAATGCCAATCACTGGATTGTCTGGTCTGGCACGATTATTTACAGACCGCTGTCATTTAGCTCGAATATTGCTTATTGCGGCGTTAAACAACAAACAAACAAAAAACAAGTCATGTTTTCGCATATTGCAGTGTTGCGATCTCTAGCAACTTATGGGGCGGTGCATCTTCCCGAGGCAAGGGAGTTAACTGACTTTAAAAGTCCAGTTTCCACCCTTGCCGAACTAATCAGGAATTTCTTGGCTCGATCGGAGCGCCACCAGTGGCTATTACGAGTTATGTCCCTTCTATGTCCCTCCTATTGACCAATCAGATTCCACCTCTCATATCACTTGCATTTGCTTCAAACATAATAGCGGCGCCAAGTCAAGACGATCTGATTGACAATCAAAATCTATGTTGTGATAAAACGGGTCTTACTTTGCGAAGTGCGCCAAATCAGGTGAGCACCTTCATTAACAACATGAAAATAGTTGGTAAATATATGCTGACGCCGAGTTAACGGTACACATTCTTTGCAAAACCTGCAAATGACCGAAATCTGCACAGCAGTTTACGAACTGGATGTCGATTTCGTTACGCGATTTTGATTGGATATGCATAGACTCGTTAGTCCTGCCAAAATATAACTCCATAATTCCAGCCTAGTTCGGCAAGGGTGGAAACCGGACATATAGCCAGTTAACTCCCTTGCCTCGGGAAGATGGGGGCGGTGGCGTAGCCTAGCGGTTACACCGTTCGCTTTTTTCGCAGAAGAACCGGTTCATTCCCTACACGTGAAGCCCATTTCTGGTGTTCCCCGTCGTAATATTGGGGGAATATCGTTAAAAGCTGAATAAACCCAAACTCACTCACGCACTCTTGCAGGTTACGGACAGAGGGAGATTAAACCCGTGCTCATTGGCTGCAAGTGGTAAACGTCTACGACCTGCCTCAATTTTTCAGTTCAAGGTGGCGTTAAAATCCCAAATCACTCATAACATATTATTGTATCGTATGAACATGGTGTATGTTGTGTTTTTTCCGTCCGAACATTCTCTAATGTGTGCAGATCTTGGTGCGGCGTAAGGCAACAAAGAAAGAAAAGAAAAAAGAGGATCTTGGTTGTAGTAAATATTCAAACAAGGACTTGGCTGGAGTGGAGAAGGATTCCATGTGAACAGTACTTGAAGAAACATAATTACAGTTGCAGATTTATTTATTATGTATCTTTGGATGCATTATATTTTATTGGTTTACGGATCGTTTTCTGAACAAATAGGTTCGCTGTTTTCACAATGGAACAACCCGTAGCTCTGTGTAGAGACACCTCAAAATCAGAACCGTTTATAGAGAGCAGCACAGAGATACGTTTACCGCAGCTAGGTCGAGATTAAATATTGAGATACATCTTTTACTTTCAGTGTTCCCTTACCAGCATGGATTGGAAATATGAAACAAATAAAGAGTCAAATAAAATGTTCAGGGGGATGAAAAGTAAAATTATTACTTTCATTAACGGCCAACTTTGGAGGTTGCTGAAGTTGGTAACGATACTCAGAGGTTACAAAAAAGATTTAAAAAATTTCAATTGTATTTTTAAACATTTGAGAAATGTTTGGTCGTTGGATCCGTAAACCAAGAAATTATTTTAAAACAACAACTAATGGTCATTATGTAAAAGTACATTACAGTGGAGGGGGTGCTCTCATGAGTGGTGGAGGGGTTCGCATTCTGTGTGCGATTTGTGGGGGATCGTCATTGTCTCCCCTTTCAAGTGCAGGTGGCGTTTTAACTTCATGAAGGGGTGGAGGGACTTTCATTCTGTGTGCGTTGGGTGGGGTCCCGTGGTGGTCTACCCTCGCGAGTCCAGGTGGCGCTTTCACTTCATGGTTCGGAAGCGGTGGAGGCGTGCGTATCACGTGGGTTTCGTGAAGAGGGGGAGGGGTTGGGAAGATCATGGCGGGGGCCAAGTTCTCATCGTCACCCTCGGGCAGGTCGGAGCTCTGGACAGGAGGGGGTGGGGCGTTCCTGGGGTAGAGCTGATTGCTCATGTATTGATACAGCATGAACTCGTCAAGCCAGAAGGATTTCACCGAGTTGCACAGCTTGTCAACAGCGGGGCCGACGGACTGACGGAATTGCTTCTTGTCCCGTGGGGTCAGAAGAACAGTAGCGGTCTGTGGATAAAAATAAATATCTTAATTTTTTTTTAAATTTTTTAAATTATTTTTTTATCTCTAATTTTTTTAAACCATTTTATTTAGTATTGCAACCTTCAAAACAACATTACTTACTCATCGAGTACCTGAGTAACATAGGTCCCGGTTACGTCAGTTAGTCATCAGAGTCCGGACCCGAGAAGATCCGGGGTAAATTAGGTCTTCAGCAACCCATGCTTGCCGTTAAAGGCGACTATGCATGTCGTAAGATGCTATTAACGGGATCGGGTGGTCAGACTCGCTGACTTAGATGATGCATGTCATCGTATTCCAATTGCGTGGATCAATCCTCACGATGTCAATCACTGGATGGTCTGGTCCAGACTCGATTATTTACAGACCGTCGTCATATAGCTGGAATATTGCTGAGTGCGGCGTTAAACAACAAACCAACATTAGTGTCCGGGGCGATCAAACTGGTATTGGGATGGAGAAACCACATTCCACCAGACATTTCGCCCTCAGAAGTTTCAAATCACAATAACTACTTCTGGATGATTATCATTCTCATTAAAACAGATCTAAGTTATCGCTACCGCTAAACAAAGAACTTAGGACATCCCATTACGGGTCACGTCAGAACGAACTTTCATCCGACCAATCAGTGGTCGCTTCCCAGATCAGGAAAGTAACATTTGGAATGTGTTTTCCAATCATGCAGCCTCGAAAAGGTTAACACGGGGTATTCCGAATGACAGTTACGGACAGTACAACTGATTCCGACAAGATCATCGTCTATCGCTCGCTTCAATGAGATAAACATCTGAATGGAAGAGACTTTGCATAGCCCATGGGAAGTACTGCCATACAATCTAGGCCATCTATTACACATTCCAGAATGTTCTTTTGTCCAGTTTTTAAATTTGGAATCCAGAACTTTCTCAAAGTATATTTCAAAGTGTTGTCTGAAATGGAAGTCGCCAGTTGGAAACTAGTACCGTAAAGCTCGAGAAAGCTGCTTTCTGATTCGCTAATGTCGACTTCATGTTAGTCACTTCATTGTTAGGTCAAAGTTTGCGAAAGGTCGTTCTGACGTGACCCGTAATGGCATGTCCTCCTTCATTCGGTAGTCTAGATCGTGTACTTTGTGTACCCCTCTGATACGTGCAAATTGGCCAGCTCCCATGGACGAAAGCTATGAATACACAATGCCTTTTAGAAAGTGGTCAGATGTATCAAATGTTATATTTGGGATAACACTTTCAAAGAATTTGATTTGAATGTTTACTTTAAGAAACTACGAAAGTGTTATCCAAAAAGCAACATTTGTTACATATGACCTCTTTGTAAAAGGGATTGCAGTGTGAAATACGATATGAACAAAAAAAAAACAATCAAACAAACCTTAGTCCTGGTATAGAAGTGCCTCTGTACTCGCGGTATAATGAGGGGTTTCATGTACTTGTAGATAAAACACGCTTCAAGATCCGGGTCTTTTAAGGCAGTGATTCCATGAGGACCCTGCAAGTATTAGATTTTATACAAAACCAAAGAAATGTGAAAGCGCATCAAAATACTGTGTTTCAAAAACTTTTATTCGTGACCACTCGTGTAATTCCGGAATAATCTTGCAGATTACCGAAATCATTCGTCACCATTCGCCCCTTTCCGTAACCTGCAAGAAGACTCGTCCCCCTATCGATAAATGATATGTGCAAAAATACGACAAACCAATCAGAATGCGCGCATGATTTCAAGTTCTTCGTCAAAGAATCCCTCAGAAATAATTTTTGATTTTACATATGTCTTGCATCTAAAAATATACCCAAGACACAGTTAAATGTGGTCAATCATACTGTATAATTCCGCATGTCCCGATGTGCTTCAAATTGCATCTGAAATATATATAATATATGGGGAAATATATGTTAACCATAAGCCACGAGTTGACAATTGTTTTAGGTATGCTCGTTTGCGCTAAGACGGAACCCGGTCGCAAAAGTCGCTATTCGCTATTGTCCGCTCTATTTTAATGAAAAAGCTCAGTTAACCCTGTTTTGTGAAGGGCGATGGGGTGATATTGTTGGAATATTTCTGAAAGCGGCGTAAAACCATATTCACTCGCTCACTGTATCGTAAAAGACAGGTCGACTCGTTTAATGATTTTACCGACACAGAGAAATACGGTTTTATTTTGTCCTACGCGTTTTTAGGCACTATTACAGCCAAACCTGCTCTTTTACTTAAACGAGTAGAATCTTACACACCACCGCTAGTTCCCTTTCTACATACATATATTGTGTTAGCATGTCTATTTTATTATTGTATACTTAGAATATACTACAGTTTTACTTATTTTCTGTATGTTAGGTTACAAATAGTCTCTCAAGAGGGGCTCATTACAATTCTAAAAACCGTGTATTTTTTAGCATGATGTTTATATAAATTGTAATTAGGAAAGACTTTAACAAACTCTCTGTCTGTCTATGAAGAAAGAGAATTCCATTGATACCTTTTAGGTCAGCCTCTTGGTATGGCCTTTTAGGTGGAAAATTACTTGAGCTAGTGTAATGACAGGTAAATACATAAAGATTACGTATAGTACTTGAATTGTCTATACCACGTTGGAATGGCGCCGGTTGTGATAAATGGGGATATTTCTGTTAGTCAAAAACTGGAATATAGCGTGTGTGATATTTATAATAGTTTTCCAATAGAGTATTTCAACAACTATAATCTTCTGACAGATTGAAGTGTAACTGTTATTCGTGGACTACATTAATTTCTCCCTCTACACGATAACGTCAGCTGGCGAAGTCTATAGTAGAGGCATAACTAACGCCCCCCTGCCTTTATCTAGTTTATGGGATAAAAGTCAACACAGACACCGAGAATGGAGTTGAGATAACGCACGGGTATTCATGGGGTACCTGTGGGCCACATAAAGCAGGTAACATAGCGTTGGGTACTAGGCTCGCTTAAACTGCTATGTCAGCATTATATATTAGACTACAACAGTCAAGCGCACGTGTTGGGTATTTGTAAATGACACAGAACGGAGATCTCGGTAAGGCTTCACGACGCTATTGTAGTCGTAGTGATGAAAACGGTTTCTTTTAACATGGCCAGCACCCCACGCTATTCATGGACGTAAGGGAGAATTATATATGTACGTTACCAATCCTCAACACACACCCTGAACCCGCACCCCATTCTCCACTGCCCATACATACTCCATAGATCCCACATCCAACACCCTCTCCCCACCCTCCACTCCCCATACCGTACTCCATAGATCCCCACATCACACCCACACCCCACCCTCCTCTGCCCATACTGTACTCCATAGATCCCCGTCTCACACCCTCACCCCACCCTCCACTGCCCATACCGTACTCCATAGATCCCCACCTCACACACACACCCCACCCTCCACTGCCCATACAGTACTCCACAGATCCCCACCTCACACACACACACCCCACCCTCCACTGCCCATACAGTACTCCACAGATCCCCACCTACCACCCACACCCCATCTCCACTGCCCATACCGTAGTCCATAGATCCCCACCTTACACCCTCACCCCACCCTCCACTGCCCATACCGTACTCCATAGAACCCCACCTCACACCCTCACCCCACCCTCCACTGCCCATACCGTACTCCATAGAACCCCACCTCACACCCTCACCCCACCCTCCACTGCCCATACTGTACTCCACAGATCCCTACCTCACACCCTCACCCCACCCTCCACTGCCCATACCGTACTCCACAGATCCCCACCTCACACCCTCACCCCACCCTCCACTGCCCATACAGTACTCCATAGATCCCCACCTCACACCCACACCTCACCCTCCACTGCCCATACCGTACCCCATAGATCCCCACCTCACACCCACACCCCACCCTCCACTGCCCATACAGTACTGCACAGATCCCCACCTCACACCCACACCCCACCCTCCACTGCCCATACCGTACTCCACAGATCCCCACCTCACACCCACAGCCTCACCCTCCACTGCCCATACCGTACCCCATAGATCCCCACCTCACACCCACACCCCACCCTCCACTGCCCATACAGTACTCCACAGATCCCCACCTCACACCCACACCTCACCCTCCACTGCCCATACCGTACTCCATAGATCCCCACCTCACACCCACACCCCACCCTCTACTGCCCATACCGTACTCCACAGATCCCCACCTCACACCCACAGCCTCACCCTCCACTGCCCATACCGTACCCCATAGATCCCCACCTCACACCCACACCCCACCCTCCACTGCCCATACAGTACTCCATAGATCCCCACCTCACACCCACACCCCACCCTCTACTGCCCATACCGTACTCCACAGATCCCCACCTCACACCATCACCCCACCCTCCCCTCCGCTGCCCATACCGTACTCCATAGATCCCCAACTCACACCCTCACCCCACCCTCCACTGCCCATACCGTACCCCATAGATCCCCACCTCACACCCACACCCCACCCTCCACTGCCCATACAGTACTCCACAGATCCCCACCTCACACCCACACCTCACCCTCCACTGCCCATACCGTACTCCACAGATCCCCACCTCACACCCACACCCCACCCTCTACTGCCCATACCGTACTCCACAGATCCCCACCTCACACCATCACCCCACCCTCCCCTCCGCTGCCCATACCGTACTCCATAGATCCCCAACTCACACCCTCACCCCACCCTCCACTGCCCATACCGTACCCCATAGATCCCCACCTCACACCCTCACCCCACCCTCCACTGCCCATACCGTACTCCACAGATCCCCACCTCACACCCACACCTCACCCTCCACTGCCCATACCGTACTCCATAGATCCCCACCTCACACCATCACCCCACCCTCCACTGCCCATACCGTACTCCATAGATCCCCACCTCACACCCACACCCCACCCTCCACTGCCCATACAGTACTCCACAGATCCCCACCTCACACCCACACCTCACCCTCCACTGCCCATACCGTACTCCATAGATCCCCACCTCACACCATCACCCCACCCTCCACTGCCCATACCGTACTCCATAGATCCCCACCTCACACCATCACCCCACCCTCCCCTCCGCTGCCCATACCGTACTCCATAGATCCCCACCTCACACCCTCACCCCACCCTCCACTGCCCATACCGTACTCCATAGATCACCACCTCACACCCACACCGCACCTCCACTGCTCATACCGTACTCCATGGATCCCCACCTCACACCCTCACCTCACCCTCCACTGCCCAGATGTACTCCATAGATCACCACCTCACACCCACACCGCACCTCCACTGCCCATACCGTACTCCATAGATCCCTGTCTCACACCCTCACCCCACCCTCCACTGCCCATACAGTACTCCATAGATCACCACCTCACACCCACACCGCACCTCCACTGCCCATACCGTACTCCATGGATCCCCACCTCACACCCTCACCTCACCCTCCACTGCCCAGATGTACTCCATAGATCACCACCTCACACCCACACCGCACCTCCACTGCCCATACCGTACTCCATAGATCACCACCTCACACCCTCACCCCACCCTCCACTGCCCATACCGTACTCCATAGATCACCACCTCACACCCACACCGCACCTCCACTGCCCATACCTTACTCCATGGATCCCCACCTCACACCCTCACCCCACCCTCCACTGCCCATACCGTACTCCATAGATCGCCACCTCACACCCACACCCACACCCCACCCTCCACTGCACATACCGTACTCCATAGAACCCCACCTCGAACCCACACCCCTCCCTCCACTGCCCATACTGTACCTCATAGATCCCCACTTCACACCCACACCCCACCCTCCACTGTCCATACTGTACTCCATAGAACCCCACCTCGAACCCACACCCCTCCCTCCACTGCCCATACTGTACCTCATAGATCCCCACTTCACACCCACACCCCACCCTCCACTGTCCATACCGTACTCCATAGAACCCCACCTCGAACCCACACCCCTCCCTCCACTGCCCATACCGTACTCCATAGATCACCACCTCACACCCTCACCCCACCCTCCACTGCCCATACCGTACTCAATAGATCCCCATCTCACACCCACACCCCACACTCCACTGCCCATACCGTTATCGAAAGATCCCCACACCACACCCTACACCCAAAACTCCACTGTCTTATACCGTACTCCATATATTCCTACCTCACAGCTCCAACCCAAACCAAACCCAACAAACCCAAACCCTCACTTACTCTCACAGATCCCCACCCTAACCATCACAACGCTTACACAGTCCGACCCCCGACTCACCACATCCGGGTCGCTGACTTCATGGCTGATGTAATTCCTGTCACCCTCGTCCAGCTGGATGTTGGGCAGCCTCGGTCTGGCCCACTGGACTTTTGGGGCTCGGAAACACTGAAACAATCACCATGTCACATGACAAGAGATGACACGGGGCTCGTGCTCTGCAGGAATCACCTGTGCTAGATTCCTCTGTGCGAGATCATCTGTTTCTGAATCACCTGTACTAGATTCACCTGTGCCAGACACACCTGTGCCTTAATCACCTGTGCTAGATTCACCTGTGCCAGACATACCTGCGCTAGAATCACCTGTGGTGTGTTCACCTGTGTTACACACCTGTACTAGATTTACCTATACTAGATTCACATACCAGATTCACCAGCGCCAGAGTCACCTGTGATAGATCCTGTGCTAGAAACAGCTGTGCTGAAATCACCTGTGCTGGAATCATAGGTGCTAGATTCATACATGTTCATACATTCATACACCTGACCTAGATCCACATCTGCTAGAATCACGTGTGCTAGAAACATCTGTGCTGAAATCACCTGTGATAGAATCACCTATGCTAGAATCATCTGTGCTAGATCAACCTGTGCTAGAATCATCTGTGCTAGATTCACCTCTGATAGAATCGCATGTGCTAGATTCACATGTGAGGGACTTACCCGTGCTAGATTTAACTGTAATGGATTCACCTGTGCTCCAATCACCTGAGCCAGTATAATTTTATGACAGCTTGTTCCCTCAAGTTAGTGTATGGATGAGTGAGTGAGTGAGTATGGTTTTACGCCGCTTTTAGCAATATTCCAGCAATATCACGGCGGGGGACACCAGAAATGGGCTTCACACATTGTACCCAAGTCGGGAATCGAACCCGGGTCTTCGGCGTGACGAGCGAACGCTTTAACCACTAGGCTACCCGACCGCCCCAGTGTATGGATGAAACAGTATGATATTATTTATCCAAGGTTTACCTATAATACCACATTTGGTCCGACTCCTATCATTACGGATGGTACTAATCCCAGTAAAGTCTAATGATGACTAAATGTTTGGAGACTCGACTCATTGTCATGGAACAACGTCCTTTGTGTGTATACTCAGATGCAAAAGTAACTGTGATATCATAATTATAGGTGAGGTGAGGTGAAATAGTGTTTAACGTCGTGTCCAAGATTATTGCACTTATATAGCGACGTGCATAATGACTATAATGGCTTTAACAACACACACACACCAAGACAGACGAGTGCAGATTAATGCCGGCATTTAGATGTATCATAGAAAGTCACAACTCACATTGTCCCCCCTTTCCAGCCTGCTGAACATATGATCGGAAATGAAAATAACTTTTTGTTTGTTTGTTTGTTGTTTAACGCCGTACTCAGCAATATTCAAGCTGTAAATAATCGAGTCTCGGACAGAGAATCCAGTGACTGACATCATGAGGATCGATCCACGCAATTGGGATCGATGACATGCATCAACCAAGTCAGCGAGCCTGGCCACCCGATCCCGTTAGTCGCCTCTTACGACAAGCAAAGTCGCCTTTTATGGCATAGTCGCCTTTTACGGCAAGCATGCGTAATTACTACATGGTTTACTTAAATCTGTGTAAAAAGCTCCACATATGCTAGAATAAGAATTTTCAAATTCGTTAATCCGTTTTCAACTCAATCAAACATCAGAACACTTAAAATCTTCAGGGAACAAGAAAGGCGTTTGGGTTACTGTGTTGCCAAAACTTATTACAGTAAACTACGGTTATAACGAACTCAAAGGTACCACCAATTTTAGTTCGTTTTTACCGTAGTTCGTTATAAGCATATATATACAGCATATATACAGCAAATGGACGGGACCAAAAATAGTTCGTTATAAGCGTGTTCGTCATAAACGTAGTTTACTGTATATGATAACACCGCCAAATCCCGACTGTCTCTAAATTGTTCTCCAAACATTTCTCTACGTTATGTTAGTCCAAACAATTGTTAGTAGTACACTGCCGGCCAAAAGAAAGTATACACCTAAAAATTCATTTGACCCTAAAATTACAAACGTTATCAGACGTTACTACGATGAAAATATCACCATCGAATAACCATTTCTAGTTTGTTTTATTATTAGCCACCATCAAACATGGCTTTATTCTTTCTTTGCCAGACAGTTTATGGACGTGGTTACTGATTATGTACCAGACACTACAGGCCAATTTACTTCATTCACCCGACCCCTGTACCGCGTTACGAACACACAATCCAAACCCATGTCCATCCACATAGAAGTACTACACATCGAAGGAAATCTAAGTGCTACACTCAGTGAGCAAATTCAACTGAAGTCAAGATCATAATTATCACTTAAATAATCCTTGACAATATTTCTCTGCATCTGATCGCTGTCAAAGATCTGTTTTCTAGTATTCAAACCCATGTCCATCCACATTAAAGTGCTACACTCAATGAGTAAATTCAACTGAAGTCAAGATCATTATTATCACTTAAATAATCATGGACAATATTCCCCTGCATTTGATCGCTGTCAAAGATCTGTTTTCTGGTAATGCTGTTGTAAACAAAAGCGTTAATCCCTTTCCAGAATCAGAAGAAAATTGCAAGTCCATGGCAAGATTCCGACCATTATCATAAGCAGTGTTTATGAGTCGATATTTTATGGTGATGACACCGGGTGCTCACGAAAAGGTGAGGGTATCATGCCCCACCGGTGGCACCCGTCACAAGCACAGGTTAAGTGTTGACCTGATAAGTGTTGATCACGTTTGACCTAGGTCAATTAACTTTAACAATCAACAGTAACAGCGTTTAAGTAACATTTAGTTTTTGTTGTTGTTATGTTTGCTAAAACGCTTAGGCTAAGGAATGTTTTGTTTGTTTGTTTGCTTGTTTGTTGTTTAACGCCGCGCTCAGCAATATTCCAGCTATATGACGGCGGTCTGTGAATAATCGAGTCTGGACCAGACAATCCAGTGATTAATATCAAGAGCATCGATCCGCGCAATTGGGATCAATGACATGCATCAACCAAGTCAGCGAGCCTGGCCACCCGATCCCGTTTGTCGCCTTTTACGACAAGCATAGTCGCCTTTTACGGAAAGCATGGGTTCCTGAAGACCTATTCTACCCCGGATCTTCACGGGTCCTAAGGAATGTAAGTTATTGCAGCATCTGCTGTTTCTTCTAAACCTACGTTACAAATACGCCGACACGGGGTAGGAATATAGCCTTTATTCCCAGTTCTGTTACATTTTGCCACAACACAATGAATAGTAGGTAGGCAGATATATGTCCAACAATGTTGAGCAAACCAAATAACACCTACAATAAACCAAATGCACCAACTGGAAATGACGTCATATACCATGCTCAAGTCCTGTGACGTAATACTCTTGTGTGTAGACAAATCTATATGTTATTGAGGCGTAAGCGAGTGTTGTGTGACACTGCACTATTCCGGTCACATCGTGCGGTGTGTACATAATTGAGTCTGGGACCAGACAACCCAGTGGTTGATAGAATGTGCAACAACCTACCCCGCCCCCTCACGATGGCATCCAGTGAATACATTGAATACATTGGACGGACAGGAGATACCCTGAGAGCGAGAGTGAGACTCCACCGACAACAAATACGGGACCCTCTTGCCGATATATCCCACTCAGTCAACACATCGATCAATGTGCCGGGGATAAGCACCAAATTTTGCGGTGTTCCCGTTTTACAAATGTGAAAATGATGCACCGAGAAGGGTAAAAGACAACTATTTTATTGATACATTCAAGCAAAAATTAATCGGCCTCAAATAATTGAATTATTTTATACAATTATTGTTTATTGTACATTTTCCTGCCACTACAATACTTATTTCTGTAGTTCTGTATGTGACGTCAAAATAGCGTAACGGTTTAAACGTTCTCTTGAAAAACACGTAGCGCTAAGATCGCTTTGTGAAACGGAGCCCTCATCTAGTCGGTTGGGACCAAGGAAACATACCCGAGTAACTGTCAGGCTGGGCGGTGTCAACAGTTATAGTCAATATTAATATATATCCCCACTGTTAGACTTTGACAAAATATTCTTTAGTGGAAATTATTTGAAAAATATACCAAAACTCCTTGTAATCGCTTTGCATGATCGAATATATTCGCTGTTGTTAATGCAATTCGACATCCTCCGTCGCCGGCTGATTCTTACAGTGCCTGAAAAAAAGCTTCTTTTTTTTGCGGGGCCCTAAACGAGTGTTTTATAGATCGTTTACACGTTGTGAGAAAAAAATTGATTGGCATAATATGAAATATAGAGCCCTGAACAAGGATATAAACATATTTCTCTTGTTTTTCAGTTAGTTAGTTTTCACCAAAGTGATTATTTTAACATGAACATCGTTACATGTAACCGAGGTAATATTACACTGCCGGGCAAAAGAAAGCATACACTTGAAAATTGGATTTTAACACAAAATTACAAACGTTATCAAAACGTTACTAGGCTCAAATCAGTCGCCGAAACAGTTGAGTATTATATATCTTCAAATCATAAAATGCGGGCTCGAGAGCCCCACTGACAAATATATTTACCGACTCAATGTGCGTCAAGCCAAGTCCAAGTGTATACATTAACTGAAGTGTAGATTTAAGATTTTGTAGGCATAAATGATTGACAACCTAGTTTCCATTAGCTAAAACTAATCGATCTTTCAAACATAAAAGTAAGGTCACAGATATGTTTCAAGTGAGAATATAAAACGACATCGCAGACCCAAACAATAAAACATCAGTGAACGGGACTTTTCAAAGTATATGTAATATATAACGAACATTTATACGAAAATTCATTCCCATCGTCGCTCGTAGTCGCAAGTCTGATTTAAGCATCCCTTTATCAGGACAATCGAGACTGGTTATGCTCTGGCATTGACGCTTCACATTCATCTGCTACTTCATAACCTATGTTGTATAGCAACCCACAAATTCAAAAGAGACACTGTCTCAGTTTCACACACGTCACCAATGGCACCAATGGCATCAATGGCACCAATGGCGTTAATTCCAACGTCCGGAACCGCCAAACCAAGTCGCTCAAACTACAAACGTTACATACCCCAACATGCGCCACCAGCACAAGCAGCGCAAACACACCGCGTAGCATTATGTATGTTGTCCGTCGTATCGCCAAACTACACCGGTATTTCCCGTTTCGTCCCGTTAAGTCGCTTTTATACCCCCACACTCATTAATTATAATGTGTCGGTATGAAGTAACCAACAGGGGTACGTCCCTCCCACTGTAGCTATCCTGTCAAAAGACGCCATAGCTTCTAATACAGTTATATTTTTTTGGTAACCCGATTTCTTTTTAAACGTGTTAATTATTGATTCTGCCTTCAAAAATGAAATAAATTACATCGCTTATTGGCAGTTTACAAGGGGTCTTTATTGTCGATGTTTCAGGATAAAAAGAGGCGACTAAATGGATAGGTTGGCAAGAACGATGATTGCGTACTATCGTACCTCGACGAAGTAGCGCGGTGTTCTTTATATCAACCACTGGTTTCGCTGACACAGGCTCGTATTGCAGGATAACTGCTGTGAGGCGTTAGGCAACAAAAACTATTTGGTGCGAGTGGCGGTTCTACCGGTAGAGCAGGACATGCTTACCCTTTTCGCAAATAACTGATTTTCTGTTAACTGATTTTCAGCATCCATTCCTATAATCTACATACATTTTGCCTTTTGCACCCAGTGGAATCTATTTCGGCAGATAATCGAGACTGGTTTTTCTTTGGCTTAGACGTTTTATCACACTGGAACCAACAAGGTGGACCTTTGCTTTCTGAGGAGTTAAACAACACACAAACAAATATCAGATTTATCTCCACCTTGCGTTCAGGCTTTCAGTAATAACTGTGGCGTTAACAGGGCCTCAGTAAAGCTTTAAAAATGTTTCATGGTAGACATGTGGAGGACATTTCCAAATTTGACGCATCCGTGACAAAAATGATGTCCGATGCAATTCCCTATTTTGACTTGTACAATATGTTCCCATATTTTTTCGGGTGAACAATTGACTTGCCTTTGCATGTGTTTGTGACGGGTGCTACCGGTGGGGCAGGATACGCTCACCTTTCCGCGAACACCTGTTATCATTACTATTTGATAGTGATTCATAAACACATGCTCATGATATAGTCGGAATTGTACAATCGACTCTGCTTTATGCAGAGATTTCTATTGGATATAAAAAAGGTTTTGTCGCTTTTATTCATATCACTCACGCCCTCAGTGAACCACCTTACATTGACTACGCATATTTATCAACATCAAGCGCAAACTTTGGATTAGTGTCAGATTCAGATTATCCATTGAGGGATTAGAGCAACAACTAACTCTATAGGCAGTATCGTAATTACAAAGTTTTAAAAACGATATTGAGCAAACAATCATTCCATGTATCTACCCCTCAAGGCGTGCACCACTTTATTGCATTTGTTAATCGATTCTCGGATTGAAATTAAGCTCTACCGGCCACCGTTCTTGATCTTCTTAATAACGGTATTTTGAAATAATCAATATCCAACATGCATTTAATTTGAACAATAATAATTTTCAGCTTCTTGAAAAATGTCACCAGTAAAGAAAGGTCGACGTTGGGCGTCTTGGTTTTCACGTGGGCGTTATGTCAAAATACCTTGTGTCTTCAACCATGTTGTTGATCTTCCCACCCAACAAAACGAACATTTATACAGCTGACAATCTAACATGCTTGAAGCGTAAGGAATGGGCGAATGTTTTATGGTAGACACGTGGAGGATTCCAAATTCCAACTCATATTGACCACATTTTCCCATCTGTTTTCAGATGAACAATTGATTTGCCTTTGCATGAGTTTGTGACGGGTGCCACTGATGGGAGAGGGTGTGCCGACCTTTCACGACACCTGGTACCATAGCTATTGAATAGTGATTCATAAACACCTGCTCATGATATACTAGTACTAGCAGTCGGAATCGTACAATGGACTGTGCTTTTTGCAGAGATTTCTTATGATTATGGAAATGTTTTTTGTGTGCTTTTATTTGTATACAACTGTAAACTATAGCACAGCAATACCACAGCGTTCTCTCATAAACCAAGAGCCAGACAATCCTAGTGATTGATAGCATGAGCATCGATGCAACCGTGACACAAACAAGTCAGGTCACTCTTTGTAACCACACGATCCTTACTCTTTTCTCTGAGTATCACATAGGTGTAACTTGTTATTGACATAGAGGAAACCATCTCCCCGAGGCATGTGAGTAAATGACTATCAAAGTGGAAACTGGACTATTAAAGTCAGTTAACTCTCATGCCACGGGAAGATGAGAGGAGGCAGACCGTGAGATATATTTAAGTCCAAAATATATTATGTAACCAAACTACAAGCTCAATGGGGGCGGTCGGGTAGCCTAGTGGTTAAAGCATTCTCTCGTCACGCCAAAGACCCGGGTTCGATTCCCGACATGGGTACAATTTCTGGTGTCCCCCGCCGTGATATTGCTGGAATATTGCTAAAAGCGGCGTAAAACATACTCACTCACTCACAAGCTCAATTTATTCAATCCATAGTACAATACGTATTGTAAACATTCCTGTAGATCGTAAGCCTACATTATTTGATCAACTTCGTAATACTAGAACAAGTATTCCTGAACTTATGTAAAAGGCTATGACGCTGGTATGGGCGGTAGTCATTAGAAAGCAACAATAGGACTCGAGTAATGACAGTATCACACCTCACAGCTTCATCCTCTTTATCTGCTTCATCAAGCAATGTGTCAACTATATTTGTATCCCTCAACAATATATTAAGCATACTGTACCAATCCTTAGGGCAGCGGGTGTTTACAACAAATATTATTAGAATTAGGGTCGTATTGGAAGCACCCAGATGGGTTCACTGAAATAGGTCAAATTACGAGTTTCAAGTATGCTTTGTTTGTTTGTTGTTTAACACCGCACCCAGCAATATTTCAGCTATGTGACGGCGGTCTGCAAATGATCAAGTCTGGACCGGACACTCCTGTGATTGACACCATGAGCATCGATCCACGCAGGATTAGGTCTTCAGCAACCAATGCTTGCCGTAACATGTGACTATGCTTGTCGTAAAAGGCGACTTACGGGATCGGGTGGTCAGGCTCGCCGACTTGGTTGATGCATGTCATCGTATCCCAATGGCGTGGATCGATGCTCATGATGTCAATCACTGGATTGTCTGGTCCAGACTCGATTAATTACAGACCGCCGTCATAAAACTGGAATATTGCCGAGTGCAGCGTTAAACAACAAATAAACAAAACAAACAAACATTAAAACAAATATCTATATCCGCGCTTGATGGGGTACTGGGGATCTCCTCTGCCCTGGACTCCCCTAGGGGCACGGCATGGCTTCTTTTCAATATTCCAGACACATCAGGACAATAATGGAGTTGAACCACGCGAGTTACCGTGTCTGACAAACCGATCCATTCAGTTCTCGTTCGACATGTATATAAAGTCCAACCAGGACCCCACGGGAGGTCAGTATTATAAACCTAAACATATTCTCACGAGAAACGCGATCTATAGAAACATATGGAGAAGTATGTACGCTGAGAAGAAATGTTTCCAATGTGTACGAAGTAATGACAAAACCTACAATCAGTCAAGTGTTACCACAGAGTGTCTATATTCTTATCACGATATGCAGCACGTGATTTCCAAACTCTACACGCCAATCCTGCTCAGACAAAGTTTGCATCTCGAGGCATGGATGTTCGTTTATGCATCGAAACAATCTAGTATCTCTTGAACATAAGTAAGTCTTCATATCTTAATCATCATGTATGGTACTCGCGTTACTTTTGACGGTGAGTTTTAAACATATGTGGCCTGATGTGAAGGGAGTATTGGATAGTTACTTTGCTCGTTGTTTAATGCCGTACTCAGCAATATTCCAGATATATGCTACCCAAAAGAAGTTAAATAAAAGCGACAAAACCCTTTCAATATTCATCAGTAATCTCCGCCAATCTCTGTCGATTGTACGATTCCGACTACTCGTAAGCCTGCCTTTATGTATCACTATCAAAAAGTGATGATACCAGGTGTTCGCTAATAGGTGAGCGCATCCTGCTCTACCGATAGCACCCGTCACAAACACATGCAAAGGCATTTCAGTTGCTCATCTGGAAAAGCACGGGAACAATTGGTACAAGTCAAAATAGGGAATTTGTGTCATTGATGCGTCAAATTTGGAAATGTCCTTCACATGTCTACCATAAAACTTTTAAAGGCTCTACCGAGGCCTTGAATGTTGTAATCTTATTCAAACAACCATGCTCGATTGTACCTCGATTGTACCTAAAAATATGTGAAATGTAAACACCAAAGGCTGGAGCTGCTGGAATAGTGCTCGACATGAAGGGACAGTTGACTATTGGAAAGTTGAAGTCATCCCTCTTGTCATGGAGACTTCTGGATATTGTTTTTGTCGCTCTGAATCTTTCTGCAAAGATCTGAATATGAAACAGACGAGGCGGTCTCATTTGTCTCATTTATTAACAGTTCAGGTAGGTAAATCAGTGGAAGGGAGTTGGCTATTTGATGCATAAAAACATGCTCCTGGTGAAGACGGAATCGTACAATGGACGTAAGATTTCTTGTCTGGTTTGTTCATAGAACTCCTATTGCGCGGTGTCAGACAATAACTACTTACAGTAAACTACGGTTATAACGAACTCAAAGGGACAACTATTTTCAGTTCGTTATAACCGTAGTTCGTTATAAGCATATATACAGCATCACCACAGCAAATAGTCGGGACTATAAAGTCAGTTCTCTATATCCGTCAGTTCGTTATAAGCGTGTTCGTTACAACCGTAGTTTACTGTACTTCCTAAAGCAAATTGTGTGAATAGTGGGTGCTGCCGGTAGGGCGGGACATGCTAACACTTTTCGCGAACACCTGGTGTCATCAATGATTTTCAGTGGTCCATTCATATAATGTACACATCTACTTTGCCCTTTACCCCTTTATAGATGGATAAGGTTCTCGTACGTTGACATATGTTAATGATTATGGATTTGTTTTGTCGTTTTTATTTACAAGTGTATACGTTCTATACAGTTGGGGATGGGGAGAGATATTGCTGGCTCTGGAGCGAGTTCAGGGTGGATAGCAGTAGGGAAGTACTCGGAGATGGGTCACTGTATGACTGTCACATCGATGCCGGGAG